AAAAAAAAAAAAAAAAACCCTGGAAAACGTCGTACTTCGTAACACTCAACATCTGCGGTCTTCAGGAGCTTGAATATTGCTTCGCCCGGGGAGGAAGCCGTGCTCGCCAGTCTGAAAGCTTTCAGCGCGATCTCCTCCTCTGGCTGCGACCTCCCCGGGGCCAAGCGGGGCTGAGCCGGATATGTGCGGCGCTGGGCGAGGAGCAGCCGGGGCGGGGCGCCGACTTGTCAGTGTCTGCATCCGCGGTGGCGGACTCACTCTAAAGCCGGGAGTGAAGACTGGGCTCTGAAAAGGGATGGGTGTTCGACGTCTGAGGCGAGACTGAGGTGGGCGGGAAAGGGAGTTTGTGTGGCGCAGGCGGCCCTTGAGGGCGTGACTCGCGGGCCCTGTCCTCGGAGAATAACCGGTGTCGCGTTCTAAGGGCCATCGAACGCATCTCTTCGTGTGGTGGCCGTGGCGCCGCGACGCGCAGTGCCGCGCGGAACTGTGGGTGCTGCCGCGTGGCTAGAGCGTCGCGGGCTGAGGCGAGCCGCGCGGGTGAGGGGCGGCCTTGGATAAGGGAAGCGATCAAGCTGTGAGAGAGTTAGTCAGAGAGCGACTTTCCCGGTTGAAAACGCGCAGAAAACAGAGCGCTTGGAATCTACGGGTAACGAGTGATGTAAATAAACCGCGCTTCACGCGTATTTTGTAATGAGATTCGGCAGTTCTGTGTAAATGTCCAGTTTTTGGATTCTTGGTGTTAATTGTGTAAATGTAAGATTGCGCGGTTTCTTCAGGTTTCACTTAGCTGTTGAGTGAGTGGACAACTTTCTGGGTAGGGAAGTTTTCAGCGATGTTTATTTTAAAGGGATTATCCTTTTGAGAAATCTGGGTATCTGTGGGCCACCAAACCCCCTTGCCTATAGAGTTGATTCCAATTTAGGAGACTTAAAAGATTTTACTGCAGTAGTACTGCTATAAGCAATTATGAAGGCCTTCCCGTACTAGCCCGTAAATTTCAGTCAAGCAATGGCATTCAACAAATATCTATTAAGTATTTATGTCCAAAAGAGCCCTGGTGGTGTAGTGGTTAAGGGATTAAACTGCTGACCAAAAAGGTTGGTGGCTCAAACTCACCAGGCTGCTCTGAGGGGACAAGATGAGACAGTCTGCTTCCCTAAATAATTACAGCCTTGAAAACACAGTGAGGGTTACTATGAGTTGGAATTGACTCGATGACAGTGAGGTTTTTATTTTATTTTATTTGGAGATCGATGTCCAAGGAACCTTGGTGGCATAGTGGTCAAGTCCTCCTCTGGTAACCGAAATGTCAAGTCAGTGGTTGCAACCCACCAGCTCCTCCACCTGGCGGTCTGCTCCTGTAAAGATTGTTGTTAGTGCCGTGGAGTCGTACCTGACTCATAGCGACCCCTCCTTGGGTTTTCGAGGCATTATCACTACGGAAGTAGATTGTCCAGCCTTCCTTCCTGAGGAGTGGCTGGTGGGTTTGAACCGCCAGCCTTCTGGTTAGTAGTCAAGTGCCTTAGGCACTATGTAAGATTACAGGGTAAAATCTGGATAGTTCTAGTCTGCCCTATGGGAGCTCTGGTAGCGTAGTGACTAACCAGAAGGCGGCGGTTCAAACCCACCAGCCATTCCTGGGAAGGAAGGTTGCATAATCTATTTCTGAGTGATACTGCCTCGAAACCCAAGGAGGGGAGGGGTCGCTATGAGTTGGGTCTGACTGGAGGGCACATAACAACAGTCTGTCCTGTAGGGTCACTGTGAGTCAGAATTGACTGAATGACACACAACAGATCTATGCCCAGTCCCTGGGTGCTGTAACCAGTGAATGCATTGGGCTACTAACAGAAAGATTGGGAGTTTAAGTCTAGGAAGAAAGGCCTGGTCTGCTATTGAGAAATCAGCCCTTGGAAACCCTATAGAGCGCAGTTTAACCTACGATACATATAAGATTGCCATGAGTCAGTGGACTCCAAGGCAACCTTTTTTTTTTTTTTTTTAAGCTATGTTCAGTACTAGCTTGGAATATAGGAGTGGGTTGAAAGGGTGTCTCTCCTCCCCACATATTTTTCTGTGAAGAGTGCTGTATTAAAGATTGTTACCTAATAACACAACTTTTCACAAACTCTTTCCTTATAAATGTCCTTTTTTTCCACCCCAAACATAGTATCCAAGATGAATGACAGCCTGTTTGTCACTTTGGACAGACTTTTGCTAGAATTTGGTAGGTATAAAATGAAAATAAATAAATAGATAGCTATTTGTATTATCATTTGACATTTTAACAATGAAGTGAAGTCACAAAAGACTTATTTATTTTAGTTTGCCAGTATGATCAAGACATGAAAGCAAAAGAAGATATGATTCAACAAATTAATAGTAAGTAAACCAAAAGACATTTTGGTCTTTTATTATTTATAGCATATAAAACAGTTGCCCTGTTTAGAGCAATTTGTGGTTGGCATTATAACTTTTTGCCAGTTCTATCAATGAGCTATTTACCCAAGGAAAAATAATCATTATTTTATTATAATTTTTGATAATAAATTTCTGTATTCAGCATTTAACTGTTTTGTGTTGAAGAAGTTTGCTTGAAATTCAGTTCAGTTGAAAAGGTGTAATTTGCTTAATTAATACAGGTAATTTCAACTATTTGAGTAAAATTTTTTTAAATCTTTATAAAAATCTCCAAAAATTAGGAGCCAAGATTGATGGATGCCACAGTTCCAGGAATAATTTTGAAAAATAATATTATGAATGAAATGGCAAGGCAAATTACATAGTATGTTTAGGATTCTGCATAAAAACTATCAAAATGAAATAGAGCTTTTAATTTCTTAATTTTGAAAACGTAGAATTTTGTTATCTTTTCTGTAATCAAAAAAGAATGCAGGTATTAAGAATTTATTCTAATCTTGTCAAGAAATTATATCATTTTATGTTTCTCATGTGTTCACTCAGTGCTAAATAAGTATATTTTATAATTATTTATATATTTTATAATCAGTTGAGCAGGAATCAATAAATAGAAACTTAACATTTGTCAAAAACAAAAGTGTTTTATTAGTGTCATAAATGATAATTATAGTTTATATAATCCCAAAACATGATAGGATGCAATTGACTTGAGATACCATCTAACCTAACCTTTTTACATTAAAGAAGAGGGACAGGGGACATTTCTTTTTAATCTCAAACACAAAACCTTAGCTTCTGGTCTAGGCTCGAGCTTTGTTCTAGTTCTCTTGTTTTTTTAGTATCTGGCCCTTTTCATTCTCTGACTGTTCTTTTTAGGTAACTTGCTTTACCCCTTTTTGCTTCTGTCTTTGTTATTTTGAATTTATGCTTTCTAGCTTAAGAAAATAAACATTTCCTATTTCCAGAATGCTTTGAAGATATTAAAGAAAACAAAACAACTATTTGTAAGATACATGAAAGCATAAATGTAACAGAAGAAGAAATTAATCATTACTCTAAACATAATGACGATATCAAAGACAACTGTAGTGAGTGAGTATTTGAAAGAAATGAACTTTCAGTAATTGTCACAAGATTCTCTTATTCAAGGTTTCTGAGTTTATAGTTGAAAACACTGGTGCTTTGAAGTAGTATTCTATATTAGCAAAATGGTGGATCAAGTCTTAAATTACCTGGTTATATGCCACCATAGAAAAGAATTATAAGGAGATTAAAGGAAAATAGAAGTAAGAGATTTAAGACCCCACTGATTTAGATCCAATTAACCTACATACAGAATTTTGAATAACTTAGGCTCAGTATATAAAATTGTTATTAAAAAATTTAAAGTAATTTCAATCTTTGAATTTTTAGGATTTTATTTTATTTTGGGAATCCAGCCTAAAATTAGTAATTTTTTTAAAATAAAAGTACTCAATATGTTAGGGATTCTTTTAACATGGCTTCAAGTTCTAGACTACAGTAGTTAAATCTGTTACAAGACAAACATTTTGAAACAAAAATTTATGGTGAATAACATGAAAAAGGATGAAACGGTAAATGTTTTGTTACATATATATTCTCTGCAATTAAAAAAAGATAAAAAGGACTTACTGTGACTAGAACTTTACTGTATATTACAAATACAAATTTGTATCTAACTAGAGGAAATTTTTAAACAATATTTAGAATGGAAGCTGCCATGGAGTCTGCTAATTTTAGATTTTTTCTATTGGTAATATTTTTCTAGGTCATAATAAAATAATGTATTAGATAGATATTAATCTTATTCTTATAATCTAATTTTAGAATTCACATTAGCCTGGTCTCTCTCTTTCTAGTTCAGGATAGTAGTAACATGCTTTTCTAAGTTTCTAAGGAGTAAAAAAGCTTCTTTAACTCAGTCCCAGCTCTTTGAAAGCTTACTTCAAAAGGATTTCTTTGGCAAGATCTTAGAAATATAATGAGAAAGAAATGCTGATGTTGGAGGGTTGTAGAGTGTATGATAAAAATGCCATGCCACATCTGATCCTTCCCTAGTCATGGTTCCAAAATATATTTTATGTAAAAATTATTTGGATGTTTGAGCATATGTGTCAATGCATGAATGGTGGTAGTGATGCTTATGGAGGATAACAATATTTTTCTTGATGTAAGGTTCTTTTCTCCAGGAAGAGAATGATTTGGTTATCTTTAAATTATTTCATTCATTTTTAATTATATCTGTCAATTTGTTTATCATTCTAAGATGCTAATTATAAATACAATTTTTTTCCATAGCTGGAAGCCAACATGTGATGTTTTTCGTAAACATGAAGATTATATGCGGGACAAATTGACTGTTTATCAAGAAACTATTGAAAAAGACAAGTACAGTATATACATAAACCAAAGCTTTTTAATTTTATAATTTAGTATTAGTGGGACATTATACTTTACAAGATTAAAAAATGTAGATGAGGATTAAGTTTTTTTTTTAAAGTATTTTGGACTCATGGTGCCATAGGAGGTCTAAGGATAACATAGGAAGATGAAACCTTTGGTCGAATTAGAAGTATACATTTATACTATACTATCCTGCACATTTGTTAGATGCAGGCATAAATTAGGCTTTGAAGTTCCAAGTAGTCAAAGTATTGAGGGAATGTTTAAAAACAGTGAAATTGCTTAGGATAAGCAGAGGTTTTTCCCGTTATGGTACTGACGCTTGAGAGAAATTTTTCTCATGGGTTCTCATAAAGGAGAAATTGTGCAATAAATACCTTTAGTGGCCTCACACAAATAATGATTGTTTGTTCTAGCATCTCTCAATGCAGGCCATGTGTTCTGGTTACTTAGTACCGCTCTGACAAGAATATACCACAAGTTGACACACAAACTTAACCATCACACCATAGCTGCAGAATAGGAAACCCAAGGAGGGGTCGCTAGGAGTCAGGGCTGACTCGACGGCACATAACAAACAAAAAAACAAAAGGGTTAAGGGAGGAGCTCTGGTAGCATAGTGGCTAAGGCACTTGACTGCTAATCAGAAGGCTGGTGGTTCAAACCCACTAGCCACGCCTCGGAAGGAAGGTTGGACAATCTATTTCTGTAGTGATACTGCCTCGGAAACCCGAGGAGGGGTCGCTATAAGTTGAGTCCAACTGGATGGCAAATAACAACAACAGGGTTAAGGGTTAGGATGAAGGCTATGGTTATGGTTAGATCTAGGGTTAGGGCTAATGTTAAGGTTAGAATTAGATCTAGGTTTAATTAGGCTTAGGGTTAGTGTGAGGGTTAGATTTAGGTTTAGGGTGAAGATTAGAGTTACGATAGGGTTTGGTTTAGTGTTAGGATTTGGGTCAGGGTTAGATCTAGTGTGAGGATTATGTTTAGGGTTAGATTTAGGGTTAGAGTTAGGGTTAGGTTTAGCTCTGGGGTTAAGGTCATGGTTAGGATTAGAAGATGGGGTTTATTTGTTTTTTTAAAAAATGTTACTGAGTTTTTAGTGAAAGTTTACAAAGGAAGTTAGGTACGCATTTGATAATTTGTGCACAAATTATTCAGTGACATTAGTTATATTTATCACAGTGTGTCAACATTCTCTTTAATTGTGTTGTGTTTGTAAAACATTAATTCTTAAAAATGATTCTGTGTGGGGCTAAAGCAAACCAGTCCAGGAAAAAACCCCAAGACTGTTGTCTTAAATCACCCGTCTAACGTGGAACTGAAGCCACTCTCAGAGACTACTTTTCAAGCAAATAATAGACTGACTTATAGAAATAAAAAACTAATACCCGTGAGTAATGTTTTGCTTAGCATAACCAACTATATGAGACCAAAAGGGCAACATTTGTCCAAAAACAAAGATGAGAAGGCAGCGAGGGGCAGGGAAATCAGAGAAATGGAAAAGGGAACCCGGAAGGATCCCAGAGTGAAAATAGAGTGCTGACATATTGCAGAGATTGCAACCAACATCCTAGAACAATTTGTATATGAATCACTGAATGGAAAACTAATCCGGTATGTAAACTTTTACCTAAAACACATAAAAGTGTTCAAAAATAAATAAATAAAGCAAACCAGTCCAAGAAGGAACCACTCTGTAGTGTTTGTAGTGTTTGATGTTTCTGAGCTAGTCAGAGATTTTAATGTGAAAACAGCTATGTAATTCTCTAAACCAGCTGAATACCAGGATTTGTAAAAGGAGGAATCCATTTGTTGGTGTCATGAATAATGAAGTAGAGGCACCAGCTGGTTTCTTTTACTCTCCCATCCTTGTTTCAGGCATTCACCAAGACTAGCATTGCTGGCAATAAATGTGATAGTAATGACTCTTCCTGAATCATGACTTGGCTATTCTGGGTCTGTCAGTTTCCTGTATAGACTATATTAGAAGAGTGAGTGGGAATATACAATACAAAAATGATGAGTGTGGTATGCTAATCTCATTTTAAACTAGTGACCTAGGCTCAGTCTTACTGGTATTTATCTCCTTCTTGGATCATTTCCCCAAATAGTTATATTAGAAGTGAGGGCTTAATTTAGAAAATATGTATTTAGAGGAATAAGAGCTTGATCGTTTTGGACTTAACTCTTTATCTTGCTAATGGGAGCAGAGTTTAGTAGTATTAAGAAGTGAAAACATTTTTAAGACTCAGACCTGCTGACCAATGCAGGGCTTGTATCCTTATTTTTCTTCTCATTATGTGTAACAGTTTATGAATACTTGTTCTTTTTTTCTTTCATGCTTAGGTGAGGTAATCATTATGGTATCTTTTAAGAAACTCCTCATATAGTTTGGCTTGATCCAAGATATAAAATTCAGGAAATCTGTAGGAACATAACAAAGGCAAGGCAACCATTGCCGTGGAGTTGGAGCTGACCCATAGCGACCGCTCCTTGAGTTTCTGAGGCAGTATTACTACGGAAGTAGATTGCCCAACCTTCCTCCCGGAGAGTGGCTGGTGGGTTTGAACCACCAGCCTTCTGGTTAGCAGTCAAGTGCCTTAGGCACTATGCTACCAAAGCTTCCTTAGGAACATAAGTGGTTTATATTTTTCATAAATATTTCTGTGAATATTATTTCCTGAAACTAAGTAGTTGATAAGAATTGAATAAAAAGATTTAAATATATAATTCTATAAAGAACTAGATTGAACATTTTTCATATGGTAGATCAGGGTAGGCAAACATTTTTTCGAAAGGGCCAGATACTAAATATTTCAAGCTTTATGAGCCGTACAGTTTCTGTTGTAACTATTCAACTCTGCTGTTGTGGTTCAACAGCAGTTTTAACACTATGTAAATAAATGAACTATGTTCCAATATAACTTTATTTATGGACACTAGAATTTTAATTTTATGTAATTTTAATATATCCTGAAATATTTATTCTTCTTTTGATTTTTTCCAGTCATTTAAAAACATAAAAGCCATTCTTAGTTCATGGGCCATACAAAAGCAGGAGGCAGACTGGATTTGGCCTATGGACAATAGTTTGTTGACCCCTGTTGCAGATCAAGCACAGGTTAAATAAGAAGAGAGGATTAATATTATAAGAATTAACTGCTCCATTCAAGACCTGTGTCTATATAACCATTTCACCTCTACCTGTGATGGACTAGAGGAGTTCCTTCAAACAGTGCAGAAATTTTATTCATAAAATTGTTCTGGGATACACATAAATGATTGTGAACCTAGAGTTCTAACACATAGAACATGACTTCATGTGATAATTTGAGCTTCGAAAATTGAGGGAGATTAAAAACTCACAGTCACAGAGGTAGCCAAAGAGGCATAATCTCAGAACCCATTTGACTGCTAACAATAAGGTTGGTGGTTCAAACCCACCAGCCACTCCATGTAAGGAAGACTGGGTGAGCTACTTCCATAAAGATTTACTGCCTTGAAAACCCATTGGGGGTTGCTATGAGTTGGAATCAACTTGATGGCAGTGGGTTTGGTTTGGTTTTTGGTTTGACATATAGCCATCATTTACTTCTTTTAATTTAACAGAAAAATGTACCACGACTATATATGCCAGTATAAAGATGTGTTGAAGCAATATCAACTAAAATATTCAGAAATACCTTTTTCACATGAATATTATAAGAAGAAAACAGAACATGAAGAAGTTCAAAACAGAGTGTTGGCATGCTCTGAACAATTAAAAATGAATGAAGCTATTTTAATGGAATTTCTAGGTATTAATATTCTTGTTATATTGTTTTAATAATCATGTATTTCTAACGTAAAGAGTATAATATGTAAATCAGTCTAAAATACAGTTTTGTTTTTCAGTGCCTGCTCCCTTTCCATCACTTACTAAATGGACATTACACATGTATCCACAATTGTATTTCTACCTAGAATTTTTATTAGATAGTATTATTTCTGTATTTTCATTTTTCTTGTGTTTCCTTGGTAAGAATCATATGGATTGTATTGTGTTAACTACAATTTGGGTTTACTTTAAAGGCTGTCTGGGACTAGTTTTCACATATATACATGTGATCAGAAGCTAGTAATTTTATGAGGATAAAATGGTTTATGTTATCTGACTTTTTGTAGTATGTTTTAATGAAGATGTCATCTTGTTCTGTTGTAACCAAAGAAAGAACTCCAGTTAAATCAATTGGTTATTATTTAATAGGATAGAAGGTGGTAAGAAGATGAGTCACAATTATTTGTTCATCTGTAGAACCTGCTTTGTGCCTCAAACCAAAAAAAACCAAACTCACTGCCATCGAGTCAGTTCTGACTCATGGCAACCCCCTTTGGGTTTACAAAGCTTTCTTCCAAGGAACTCACAGTTTAGTAGGGGAGACAGACAGATAAGGAAGTAATCTAATATAGTAGCACTATACTAGATGCTTAGGAGCTCTGGTAGCATAGTGGCTAAAGCACTTGACTGCTAACCAGAAGCCTGGCGGTTCAAACCCACCAGCTACTCCTCAGAAAGGAAGTTTGGGCAATCCTACTTCCGTAGTGATACTGCCTCGGAAACCCAAGGAGGGGTCGCTATGAGTCGGGCTGACTCGACGGCACATAACAACAACAACAACATAGTAGATGCTTAAGTAACTCATAATTGATCTAAGTCTGCTTGTCTTGTCAGAGAAATCTTCCCCAATAATGAACTTGGAACTTTAATCCTTTTCCAAATTCCACAATCCTTCATATACTTTTCTATCAGATGATAACTTCATTTTTTATACTAAATATTCTTTATCCTTGCATTGTACCTTGTTTCTTGTCTGCTTCATCCTAAGTCATTCTTTCAGCACCTCTACTGTTTACTCATACTATGTTTTGATTTTACCCTATTCTGTTCTGAGATGTCCATTTGCTGTCTATCTGTGCTTTATTTCCAGTGGGGAGGGACAGAGGTTGGTAGGTGCAGAAGCTATTACAGGGGTTTAGGGAGAGGGATGTGAGATGAGATGCGATATAAGGCTGTATGATAAACAAAGAGATGAATGGAGGTAGGAAGAATTGAAGATTAAACCAGAAAAACCAAACCCACTGCCAGTGAGTCGATTCTGACTTATTGTGGCCCCCGTAGGGTTTCCAAGGCTGCAAATCTTTATGGAAGCAGAATGCTTCATCTTTCTCCCACTGAGTGGCTGGGGGGTTCAAACCACTGACCTTTTAGTTAGCAGCCAGATGTTTTAATCTGTATATCTAACATTTAAATTAAGAATTTTGATAAAAACAAATTCATTGTGACCCCAGTTGGGTTTCCAAGGTGGTATATCTTTACAGAAGTAGATTGCCCTGTCTTCCTTCTGCAGAGTAGCTGTTGGGTTTGAACCACCAAACTTCCGGTTAGCAGTCAAATGCCTTAGGCACTGTGCCATTAGAACTCCTTGTTATAGAGAATATTCACCTGAAATTTTATGTCCTAGCTTATAAATTATATTTTTAAGGCAGATAGGAAGGGTCTGTCAATTTTTTTCTGGAGTTTTTGTTCACTGCCACTATTCTATTTATTTTTTAATTCTCCTAAATAGAGTATAGAGTAATTTATGAAATTAGCTAAAACCACTCAGTGCATCTGTTAGTAGCTGAGAAATTCTCTATTTGAAATTAGGCCTAACGCCAGGTCAAGGAGAAAATCCAGATGGAAGATCTAGACCTCTTTTGAGTGTTACAGGGTGGACTGATGAGCCCTATAGAGCAAGAAAAAGGAAATTGAGTGAATTTATTGTTGGCTTTGGAACCAATAATAATGGCGACATAAGGAGTTAAGTTTAGATATGAATTGATTATAAACAGTCACACTATATAACATGACCATCTTGCATAAAACTAAACAAACAAAAACACACTTTGTGAAAACATTTAACTGAAATAAAAATCCTAACAAATATTTTAGGTGAAATGTTATTTTTAAGTTCAATATGTAACAGATGAACAATAAGTTATGTCTGTTAGTCTGTCCAATGTTTATATTAATCTTACCTCTGTTTCCAGACACTATTATTAATATTACTTATTGCTATAAGGTTGCTATTAGTGGGAATCAACTCAATGGCAGTAGGTTTGGTTTTGGTTTATTGCTTATGTGGAACATACATATAAATAATATTACATAGTATTATTTCTGATGTAGCACATATATTGTAAATGTAAAACTTACTTGCATAGAATAGTTCCTTAACATGAAAGGGTCAATATGAGATGTAAAACAGAAGAAATTCTTAAACTTGCCAATAAGTTTACCAAAAGTTCATCTGAATTGAAGAAAGAAATAGATGAAGTGGAAATAGAAATTAATTTCTTAAATCAGGTATATATTTTGTTATATGTTTCTAATGTGTACGTTAATATATAAGTATAATGGTGTGGTAGCCTTAGAAGAGGTATTTTCAAGAGAACCTAAACATGGAGAAAGGATTTTAAGGTAAGGCTTAAAATTTTGAAGTTAATTCAAGAGGAATTTCTGTTGAATTTAGAAACACGGTTAAAACAATACTAAAATAATAGTTCTCTTAGAAGTTAGTAATATTTTTCTACAATTTTGTTTTAAATCAAATTTGAGTTTCTGTATGTGAAATAAATATTAAATGTTTCAAAGTTATCTCTAACAAAATACCAGCAGGATTCATAGGATGCTTTATAGGTAGTTCAGGCCAAAGGACTTATTTTTTTCCCAAAAAGAGTCCACATAAAAACTTACAGAGCTAATAAATGAATTTAGCAAAGTTGTAGAGTACAAGATCAACAAATGAAAAATCAGTTGTGAAAAATAAGTAACCAACAATGAGAAATTTAAAGGGAAATTGGAGTAACAATTCTATTCACAGTAGCATCTAAGAGAATAAAATACCTAGGAATAAATCTAATCAGAGACATGAAGGACTGATATAATAAAAACTATAAAATAATGCTGAAGACATTAAAGAAGTCTTAAATATATGGAAAGGTTCCATGTTCATGATTTGGAAGATTGTTAAGATATCAATACTACTCAAATCTATAGATTCAACGCAATCCTGATCAAAATTCCGACAGCCTTTTACAAAAATGGAAAAACCAATCCTGAACTTTATAGGAATAGTAAGAGGCCTCGAATATCTAAAGCAGTGTTGATAGAGAAGAACAAAATAGGAAGACTCACACTTCCTAATTTTAAAACCTATATAGTATGGGTTCAAGCATAGCAAAGATTATGAAGATGGTGCAGGACCAGCCAGTGTTTCATTATATTGTACATAGGGTCGCTGTGATTCAGAACTGACTTAATGGCACCTAACAACAAGAACAACAACATGTTGTTGTTGTTATGTGCCATTGAGTCGGACCCGACTCATAGCGACCACACCTTGGCTTTCCGAGGCAGTATCACTACGGAAGTGGATTGCCCATCTTCCTTCCGAGGAGTGGCTGGTGAGTTTGAACCACCGGCTTTCTGGTTAGCAGTCAAGTGCCTTAGGCACTATGCTACCAGAGCTCCCAACAACAACATACAGCTATAATAATTAAAGCAGCCTGGTACTGGTTTAAAAAGAGACACATAGACCAATGGAATATAATTGAGAGTACAGAAAAAAAAAAAAAACCCACACATCTGCAGTCAACTGATTTTTGATAAGGATGATAAGTCCATTCAATGGGAAAAGAAGAGTCTCTTCAATAAATGGTGCTGAGAAAATTGGACTTCCACATGCAGAAAAATGAAACAGGATCCATGCTTCACACCATACACAAAAATTCAAAATGGACTGAGGACTTAAATGTGCAAAATAAAACCATAAATTTCTTAGAACAAGCAGGAGCAACACAGGCCTAGTTTTCAGCAATGATTAGCTAATATAATAACAGAAGCACAATTAGCAAGGCAGAATATATGGCACCTCATAAAAATTGAAAACTTAGTTCATCGAAAAGATTTTACCTTAAAAGTAAAAAGACAAGCTACCAACTGGGAGAATATCTTTGGAAACCATATATCTGACAAGAATGTGTAGTTGTTGTTGTTGTTATGTGCTCATAGCCACCCCTCTTTGGGTTTCCAAGGTGGTATCACTATAGATTGTCCAACCTTCCTTCCGAGGAGTGGCTGGTGGGTTTGAACCACCAGCCTTCTTGTTAGCGGTCAAGTGTCTTAGGCATTACGCTACCAGAGCTCCCAATAAGAATATAATATCCAAAAAATATATAAAACTTTGACAATGTACAACAAAAAGACAACCCAATCATAAAATGGGTAAAGGACTTGAATAGACATTTCACCCAAGAGGACATTAAGATGGCTACCAAACACTTTTAAAGGTGCTCAGTGTCATTAGCCATCAGAGAGATGCAAATCAAATCCACAGTGAGATACCATTTTACTCCCACTAGGATGACTAAGGGAGCTCTGGTAAAGTAGTGCCTAAGACACTTGACTGCTAACCAGAAGGCTGGTGGTTCAAACTCACTAGCCACTCCTTGGAAAGAAGACGGGGCAATCTACTTCCGTAGTGATACTGCCTTGGAAACCCAAGGAGGGGTTGCTATGAGTCAGGTCCGACTCGACGGCACATAACAACAGCAACAACAGGATGAGTAAAATTTTAAAAAAGAATGTTGGCAAGAATGTGGGAAAATTGGAGCCCGTATCCCTTATCCATTGCTGGTGGGAATGTAAAATGGCACAGCCATTGTGGAAAACAGTGTGGTGTTCCTAAAAAAAAAAAAGAACTACCATATGACCCAGCAATTCCATTCCTAGGCATATACCCAAAAGACTTGAAAGTAGAGATTCAAAAAGAAACTTGTACACCAATGTTCATTGCAGCACTATTCACAATAGCCCAAAGGTAGAAAAAACCTAAATGCTCATCAACAAATGAATGAATAAACACAATGCATTACATACACTAGGGAATACTAAGTTGGAGAAACGAAGTCTTGATTCATGCTACAGTGTGGATGAAGCTTGAAGACATTATGCTGAGTATAATAAACCAATCACAAAAGAACATATACTATGTGACCTTATTTCTATAAAAAGACAAGAAAAGGGAAATATATAGAGCATAAAGTTTGTTAGTGGTTACCAAGGGCTAGAGGGAGGGGGAAAGGACTGTTAATGGTGATGGAATGATCTTACTGATTAAGGGTAGGTTTGTACTGCCAATTATTGACATTGTTGTTGATAAGTTGTACATCTATAAAAAGTTAATAAGGGAAAAAATAAAACTGATTTTAATATATAGGCCAGTATTATTCTCTTGAGTAAAAATAGTAGATTATAAATTATTTGTGAAATTGTTTAATCCTGGGATGATATATTATGCTGAGACTATTTCAAAGAGAAGATAGTTATAATAATTTATTTGCCTCAGATTATGTTTGGAGCTAAAATATGTCTTAGTGACTGAATATGTTAAACTCTGCGTTTTGGGGAATAGTTTAATTTTCATTAGGCCTTCAAGAAAGAAGATGAGGAAAGAATATATAGCTTAATAACAGGAATTTAAAAGCATTATAAAAGCTACAAAAGTCTTGTCCAAAAGGGTACAATGAGAGTAAATGGCTTGAAGAACTTAATCTTGATAAATTTGTGACTAAATTATAACCTTTATAGAACTACACTTGAACTAATTTGCCTTCAAAATGATATAGCATTCTTGAATACAGTGTTAGTGTATTCATTGAATTGTAGTCTTTCATTCACACAGGTATGAGAACCCATCAAGTCACTTCCAAATTGTGAGAAAAACTTTAATATCCACTTTTTTAAATGTTTGAGAGTTCCGTTAAAGATTGTATGTTTAGTATTCATATGTTCGAGGTACCAAAATAACAGCAGTATCATTTCCATATCGAGAAGAAAGTGGGTGCCATGTCCTTTAAAATATATGGTAGCTATGCACCTATGTAAGAAATCAATGTCTGCTTGTTATTTTCCTTTTTTTTTTTAAGATAGAAGTTCATTGAACTATAGGTTTGCTAATAGAGTCGTAAGGAAAAGTAAAATAGATTTGATTTATTAATTTTGACTCTGTTTTAGCAACTTTCAATAAAATATGGCGAATACTATCAAAGTATAAATCTTGTGATATGTATTAAAAATCACTAGTTAAGATGAAACATATGTTCCTTAATACTTTGCAGGTAATTAATTACTTTGGTTTATTTTTGGTCATTTTTCTTTTTACCAGACTGCAAGACTTTATGAAACTAAGAAATTTTCAGAGGCTCTGGAAGAAAAGAACATTATAGAAAAGAGAAAGGAAGGGAAAGAAAGGTATAGGAAAAATTTAAAATTGGATTTTATGTGAGCAAATATTCTGAGTCTAAAAGTTTGATTTTATATTCTATGCCAAACTATTAATATATGCAGTATATAAGTAATTTTTTTGTGTGAAGGCTTTTTTCTACTCATTTCTTATGAAAAATTTAAATTTAAATTTAATTTAAACATTATGAATTAACAAATAAAATGGTTATTATTCAGTAAAGCCGAGGGAAATGTGTAGAGAGAAATAGGCAAGCAGTAACATACCTGCTTTTCTATAACCTGTCAGTTATACATTTCATTCAGTTTTCCATGAAGGGTCAGTAATAGGAGTAAAAGGAGAAACAATTGTTGGAGTAGCAATGTATTTACCTTCTTTTTTTTTTTTAATTTTTTTTATTGTGATTTGGGTGAAAATTTACAGAGCTAATTTACTTTCCATATAGCAGTTCACATACACTTTGTGTCATGATATTGACTACAATTTACCACAATGCAACAGCTCCCCTCCCACTTCCTCCCCATAGTTACCTGTTCCCTATGTCCATCCCTCCATG